CAAGAAGCCCCCATGATACCTGGATAGAATCCCAGAAGACCATGCAGGACAGAGGAGGGACGCTTGGGTGTGATTCTGCTTGGGAATGTCCATAGGGAGGTGGATATGCCATTGGTAATGCCTTCAAAAGTGTTGTTCATTCATCGACTTGTCTTGTCTCAGGGAGTGTTGTCTACATCCATCCAGGTGCTAGTCTCCCCGCTGGAGCAAACAGATAGCATCAGAAGAATGTTTCTATTTCATTTATAATGGATAGGTACAGTGCTTGTCATGTGCTAGGTGTTGCAAGCATTTTTCAAACATTAACTCCTTTAATACTCTGCGTGTCCTTACAAATTAGGTACACTTATTATTCTTGCCAACACCAGGTGAAGAAACTGAGGCACCAATGAGGTGAGTAACTTGCCCACTACCAATATCTAGGAAGTGATTCAGCTGGAATTTCAACATAAGAAGTTGACTCCATATTCTCTGTTCTTAACCATGTTCTTTACTCTCTAATATTTCACACCATGAAGACATTGGCTCAGCATATCCATTTTCTTGTTACACCCAGTAGCCCCACTCTTTGATCTCTGTCTGAAAAAGATGCCATTTGCATCAAAACTGTTGCACAGACACACCAAACTGACTTCTCCTCATATCCCATGTCCTGGAAAATACATAGAGAACTTTTCAAAACCTTTCTTGCCTAGGCTGGGAATGCTTCTGGGAAATCCCACTGTTCCTCTAAGAAGCCAAGGGAAGGCTGAGAGCTGGATCTCAGGGGAAACCTGACCTCAGGAGTTACCAGGAAATTACAGAATGGATGGGAGGCCTCAGCAGGAACTGACTTCAGGATCTGGTGGTGTTTGAAGCTGGGCGCTAATTTTCTGGCTGTGGGTGTAGGGGCTGATGCTGCATTCCAGGGTGAAAGGATGGCTCCCTGTGTTCTTGGGGGAAATCAGACACAGGAAAGAGAAGAAATGATGCTTTCCTTTCACAATGGACTTGGGAGGGGAAACATTTAGGCCAGAAGAGAAGTCATGTTCCTGAGGTCACCGGAAGAAGCTGCCTCTGCCTCCGCCAAGCAGAAAGCCCTCCTTCATGGACTCACTTTATCCAAATGACACCAAGAAGGAGGAAACCATGAGATGCCCTTCCAGGTGGGAGATCTGTGATGGTGGAGACTGTGCCTGGGAGGCTCTGAAAGGCCTCACGGAGGTGACATTTGCTGTGAGCAGAGTGCCAGATGAGAGGCATGTCTGCCTGTGTCTGGGAACAGTTTGAGTGTCAGGGAGAAGGCACCGCTGGTGCAGAGACTCACAGGAAGAAGTGAGTGTGACCAGAGAAGGGCAGAAGGGTGGGGGTGTGGCTGGAAGGAGCCTGAGAAGAGATAGGAGGGCAGATGGGGGCAGAGCAGGGCTGGGTGGCAGGAACTGGCAGACTGTGCTTTTTCCCGTCACTCTCTGATGACATTGCTCTAAGACATTCCACCTAGAAAGTACAAATCCTTGAGATCTCACAAAGTCTGTGTGCCAGGAATGGGGCACAGCTTAGCTGCGTGCCTCTACCTCAAGGTCTCTGTGAAGCAGGTGCTGTGTCTCTATTGCGGCTTGACTCGTGGAGAGTTTGCTCCCAAGTTCACTCACATGCATGTTGATGGGGTTTCTTTGGATTGAAAGTCTGAGTTCCTGCCTGTCTGTTGGCCAATCATTCCCTCCGTTCTCTCCTATGGAGCCTCTTCACAGGGCAACTGAAAACATGCACACTTGCTCTCCCAGTTCCAGAGATATAAGAGGCAGAGAGAGAGGGAAACAGGAGGAGGGAAAGAGGGAGGGGGCTGAAGAATGTCAGTAAGAAAGACGTGCCAGGCTTTTTGTTATTAACCCCGGGTTGTGTGCCATCCCAACACCTTGGCTGCATTCTGCTCAGAAGCCACTTCCTAATGACTGCGGTTCCACAAGGATGTGCACAGCAGAAGACAGTGAGCACCGGGAGCCGTGGCGGAGGCTGCCCTCCACATAGGCCGACATGAGGCACTTGGGTCTGACTCTAAGTCAAACAGGAGACCGTGGAAGGTTTCATGCCAGTGACTGGCAATATCTGAATTTCCTCTAATTTCAACCCCTAAAAGGTGCAGACATGGAAATGAGGCCCAGAGGGGCAGTGACTTGCTCAAGGTCCAAGAGCTGCGACCCAGGCCTGTTTTGAGGGGTACAGCACATGACATCACACCCCTTCTTGTAATTCTTTCATCTCTAAGTGTGTGCATCAGACACATGGAAACCAGACCACAGGTGTTGTCACTACTATCTCTTCCACAGCTGAGGACATCCCGAGGGAGCTATTTCTGGCCTCGTCCCCATCGTGCAGGTTAAGAGACTGAGGAGGCCCTGGGAGGCACAATGGCATTTCCAGGACACAGAGCTTCTAGGAAAAAAGAGGCCTGAACTCAGCTGAACTCAGCTTCCTCAAACTGGAAGCCTGGCTACATCTCAACATCCTGTGTTGGGCTCTGTGCTGTCTATTTGTGTACAGTTCTGGAGATGACATAGGCAAGGAGGGTGAGCAGCCAAGAGCCCTGAGGGGTTTTGGGTGGGTGTGATTGAAGGAAGGTGCCCAGGTAAGGGAACCTTGAGGAAGTGACCTCACTTCCTTGGTGACAGACCCTAACAGAACTTAGCACGCTGGTCTCCAGGCGCCCACATTCTAGACATAGCCTCCTATTGAGCTCACTTGAGTGGAGAAACTCAAGAGAGCAGAATGCTCTCCTGTTGTCTCCCGACTTGTCGAGGCTGTGGCTTCAGGAAAGCCAAGAAACAGAGCCTTTTCAGTCGCTACACACACTGGCTTGGCCCTCACCTGCACCACCTCTGGCCATTTTGCAGGAGGAGCCCTCAGGTAACACAGGGCAGGCCAAACGCGTTAGGCCACAATGGGATCCCAGCCCCACACTCCTCTGAGCCTCCTTGTGTGTCAGGGGCAGTAGTGGAGTGAGGGTTGGCAGGGCAAAGCTGTGACCCACCCTGGGCAGGAGCCCTTTGCTGGTTGCATTGATGCCTGGCAGTGCGTCATGTTCCCAGCCTAGGTGGTGGCTAACAGGATGGGAGAATGGGTGCTGGGGACCAAGCTCCTGTATGCATGTGTCAGTCCCGATCCCTCCAGGTGTCATCTCATTCCCTCCCTGGCTGGAGGTCTATGCAGATGCTGCTGGGTACCTGATCTGTGCTGGGGCTTCCTCCTGTTGCCAAGCCGAGGCAGGCCCCTGAGACCTCCTGGCCCGGCTCTCGGGCACTGTCTTTGCAGAGCTGCATGCAGGAGGTGGTCGAAGAGCTGGTGGATGGCTTCGGGTACTCCATCTCCCTGGACAGGGACCAGCTGCACCGTGCCACCATCAATAACCAGGGCTGCTCTGAGGTGAGAGTGGGCACAATGGGTCTTCCTACCCAGGACCCTGAGATGACCAGGGTCGGCCTAGAATCCAACCTCAAACTGCCGTTCTCCTGGGACCCAAAGAGGGCTGTCCCCCATGAATCTCCCACAGTCCCATTCCCAAAGGAATCTGGACTTCTGCTCCTCCCCACCAGCTGCATAGGAGGTTAGGAGGGCACTCTTTGCATTTCCCTAGGAGGATTAGAGAAAATGTTGGTGTCGTTGTCACTTCCCAATAGGCCCTGAGTATCTTTGAATTTTGCCTTTTTTGGAACATGGAACCTCGATAACGAGGGTCTCCAAACTCCCTTTAATGTAAGAGAAATAACCATCAGAGTGTTTTAGAAGTCAAAGGGATTCTCAGAACGTGTCACTGCCCTGTAAACTGTTTCCAGACCTGGGAGGGTTGAGGTGGCCACATAACATTTCCCTCCGTGTCAGGGCCCGATGAAGCCTCAGGCAGTTAGAGGGGATGTCCCTCAGCCCTCACTTTGGGCGGTACTCAGTTCTGACCCACAGGACCTAGAGAAGCCACTTGGCATGCCTAAGACTCTGTTCTCCTCTCTAGAGAGGGGGAGTCTGTTGGGGATTCACTGGGCTGGTGATCTTCACAGAGGGAGCTCTGTTGTCCCTCAGTGAGCAAATGGCCTCCAGGGAGCTCAATGTGGAATCCTTCATCCGCCCAAAGTCAGATTGTACTTTGAAAGCCCAGAGCCTTGCTGAGTGTGGGAGCTCCTGTGTCTCCTGTTGCAGATGTGTGGGAGGGGCTAGGAGTTCCTGGGTCAACTGCAGACCTTGATAATCCTGGTGGGCTGCAGTGGTGGCCCTGACCCTGTGTCCCTCCTCATCCCACCCAGAGTGAAGATGAGTCCACTCTGTCTGTAACTGAGGCCTGCAGGATGCGTGCCCTCCAGGTAGGCATGATGCAGAGGCTCTCAGAGTCTGTGCTGCCAGCCTTCCCCGGTAGAGTCCTCTGCAGTGTCACCACCTCACTCTGCAGTTACTCAGGCTCCAGCACAGCCCACCAGGTCCTGCACCAGCTGTTTCCCATATGACTGCCCGCCTCCTCCTCAGCACAGTAGTGACTCTGCCCACTGCCAGCTGTGTGTCTTGTCTTGGGAATGTCACCACATCTCTCTGAGCCTGAGTTGGCTCCTCTGAAATGTGGAATGGGAGAGGATGAACTTGCTAGGGTTCTCCCAGGGATGAATGGGCTCAGCCATCCAGGTGCTGCCCTGGTGCCCGGCTCTGCAGAGAGGGCCCTGGGTCATGCTGTGGTTGCTGGTGTTGATTATTTCTCTGCCCCCCATGAAAAGTAGTCTTCCTCGCCCTTCACTGGCTTGTGGCTTTTTGAGTTTGGAAAAACACCTGGAGAGCACCCTGTCAAGGAGTTTGAGATGCCATCCAGCTGGTCCTGGTGCTTGTCCTTGGTGTAGACATTTAGGGATCTCTGGGGCCACAGAGGGGCCACAGGCCCACTCAGACACCTGGGGTCGTTCTGGTTGGAGTTCATTTAACAATGCCTATGAAGGACGTTCTGTGTGCAGGGCATCTGCACACACTAAGCGTCACTCAATAAGTGAAGCAGACAGCCTCCCTGGGCCTCCCCTCTAATCTGAGCGTCAGTCACACTTGACATCATTCCTAGGTCCCATCTACCCTCCATCCCGGGCGATGCCCTCATCCCCTTTGGGACACATGGAGGCAGCTTGGCCCATTGTGTGCGGGATTCTGGAGGACAGCACCACCTCCCAAAGTGAGTGGTCTTTGGGTGTAGATGGAGGGCCTCCTGTCTCTAGCAAACAGGGTGAGGGGAGATGATGGAGGGTGTGGCTGGCACAGGCCTGGAAGAACCCTGCATCTCACCCATCTTGTGATTCCCATGGGAAGGCTGAGTTCTGGTGGCTTCCACTCCAGCAGGACTGGACTCAAAGAGAGCTGTGCATGGGTCTCAGGCCCCCTGAGAACCGGAAGGGAGGCTGGGCTGAGTTTTCTCCTAGAGACCCAATCCCAGCAGAGTCCCAGCTCCTTCTGCCTCCCTTTCTCCACATCCACCCCTTGTGAGCGCCACCACCAGGTACATAGTAGGAGGTGCGTGAGCAAGCTGCTCACAGATCTGCTGGAGTCTTCATTCCAGTGGCCCATGTGCATGGAGGGCTGGGCTGGGCTGTGTACAGACCCTTGGGGAGGAGAGTGTCGGTGGGAACAAGAGACTCTCACAGACTCTGCGTTCAGCCTGCTGGATGAGCAGGCCTGCCACTGCCAGGACAGCCAGCCGGGGCTCAGGGCTGGGATGGGCCCCTCCTCTGGATGGGGAGGGGATGGCACAGGGGCCCAGATGCTAACAAGAGTGCCTTGGGTGGGCAGTGTTTAAGGAAAGGCTGGGCCACTGACTCTCTGGCCCATCTGCCTCCCTGCAGTGCTATCTATTTCCTGCTGGGAACCTGGCTGGGCCAAGGGCAGGATTGCAGGGAGCCCCTACAGTTTCCATGCTGGACCCTGCAGCTGGCCACTCTGCACGTCAGCTTTGGTGGCTCACATGTGGAGGGCCATGCCTAACTTCTGCCAGGCCACCTGGAGCACCTCAAGGCCACTGAGGCCAAACAGAAAGGTGAGGGGACTGGAGTCTGAGAAGACTGTCTGTGTTGAGGTTCATGGGCTAGAGTTCCCTTAAAGGCAGTGGAGTCCTTCCTGTCTTTGGAAAGGCACAGAAACTGTCAGGTGTGTGGGTGAAACTTTCTCCTTATCCTGTAGCAGAGCCAGCTCCAAAGCTCCTGCCACATCCAGAGCCAGAGCCAGAGCCAGAACCAGCCCCTGTGCTAGAGCCATCTCCAGCTCCAGCCCCACCACCCGTGGCAGAGCTGGAGCCAGCGTCACCTGCATCGGACCCTACAGGGCTGGAGGAAGGCGCACCATTAACTTCAGCCCCAGTGCCAGCTCCTGAACTAGAGCCCACTGGACCCTGGGCTGTGACCACCGAAAACCAGCTGAGGGAGGAGAAGCCGAACATCTTGGACTTCCCTCCCCGGCTGGTGGCAGAGCAGCTGACAAGGATGGAGGCGGTGAGCAGCGGGGCTTGCAGGGCAGGGGGGCCCTGCCTTCCTGTGCCGTGAGCTGCCCCACACCTGCCATTCCCTGATCCAAAATCTGATGATCTGAGTCCATATTCCTGCTCCCCCGTTACCAACACTGTGACGGGCACTTTCTTAACCCCAAGCGCTTGCTGTCCCCACGTGCACAGCAGAGCCGGACACTAAGGGCACCTGCTGCACGGGGTGGCTGTTCCAATGAATGAGGTGGAAAAGTGCTGCCAGGTCCTTGGGTCGATCATGTGTGTGCCCAGGGGGCCTTCACAACCTCAGCACGTATCAGGCACGTGATGTGTACTGACTCCAGTGGAGACAATCACACAAAGCCAGTGCTTCTCCCTGCCTCAGGGGAATGTGCATGGGAATGAGGAGTGGGACCTGAGAGGGACTGGGATGGTTGGAAGATGGCCCTTGGAGTGGGCCGGTGGGGGCTGCGTTCCAGAGCTTGGAGGAAGTGAGACGGGGCTGGGAGCAAGTCCCCTCCCTTCTGCACAGCACTGTGTCCCGGGTCATCTTGTGCTGGCACCGTCAGTGGACACAGACAAAACCCAGGGAGTCCCACACACCTCAGAGATCGCATCCTCTGCTCCCTGAGCTCCTGCTCTGTCCTCAACCCACCTGGGAGTGTGGGGGACCATGGATGCCGCGCTGGGGTGAGGCAGTGCTGGCAACACTCTGAATCTTCCTCAGGAGCTGTTTAAGAAATTGGTGCCTGCCCACTGCCTGGGCTCCATCTTGTCCCAGCGAGACAACAGGGACTGCGAGTACCTGGCACCCACCATCGGTGACACTGTGGCACACATGAACACCATGACCAACAGTGTCATCGCTACGTGCCTCGGGGCCCCGGGCATGACAGCCCAGGAAAGGGCCAGGGTGGAGGAGCTGTGGATTCATGCGGCTAAGGTAAGTCATGGGAGGCCCATGGAGGCCCTGTCTGGAGTCGTGGGAATTCCCTCTTGTTTCTCAGCTGTCGATATTGAAGTCTGTCGTCTGAGTCCCTGCACTGTCCCTAGACCCTCCTTCCAGGGCCACACTGACCTTGACTTGAGGTCCTGGTGGTGGCAAGCTCACTTCCTTCCTGTGCTCCTTCCTTGTATTCAGCTAAAAATCCTTGTGCCTGGCAGTGTTACTCGTTGGATCCCAGCTGTGCCCTCCCTGGGTTTCCTGGGCATCTGTCTCATCCAGGACAGGAGAAGTCCATGAAGGGACAGAATCCAGAGCTGGAGAGCTACAGCACCCCCTCACAGCTCAATCTCTTCCCTTCCCCAGGGGTGCTGAGGCCTAAGAAACTTCTCTTCCTTCTACATGATCCTTTCTGCTCTGCAGATCCCTGCCATTAAGCGTCTCAAAGACACCTGGGGACAAGTTTCCAGGTGGGTGGGCTGCTATCCATCAAAGCACCACGAGGGTGAGGTGGACCGTGGCGGCCGGCCTTGGGTCTCCATGGTCCCCACAGTCAGCTGAGACCACCTGGGAGACAGCGAATGCCTGGGACACGGACTGATCCGGTTCCTGGGTCTCTGAGTCTCTCAGGGCCCTTAGGCTAACAGTTCTGCCCAGGAACTCATTTCCTTCAATATCAGATTCTGACTTGAACCCAGTTGGAGATTCTCAAGTGTTTCCTTTGCAGGAACAGAAATCTCCATCCAACTGAAACCAAGAGTGTTCAAAACAGATCTGTGTGGTAGATATGGGAATGGAGGCCCCAGGTGACAACAGGAGAGGCCACTCCCCAGTCCAATGGGGACCTCAGGGCTCAGAGCAACACAGTGAAATCCCTTATCCAGGCCCCGGGCTGTTTGGATCGTCTGGGATCTCAAACAAATGGTATGTGCCCTTCCACCACCCCATAGTCTTTCTTTCTTTCTTTCCCCACTCCCCCAGGGAGAGATCCTACACCTTTAAGAAGTGGTGCAGGGGACAGCAGCACGTGAGCAGGAGACTGCTCCTGAAGGTAACCTGGGGCTGGAGATCTGGGAGGAGGGGTGTATGAGGGCCCGGGAACATCCTGAGGGCATCCTAGGAAGTGAGGCTATGGTAAGGCCATCCTGGGGTTCAGAGACCCCTGTGGGTGGGGCAGGAAGGAGATGCCACATGGCTCCCTCAACACCCTCTGCCCTCTCCCTCCACGTCTCAGTTTGGCTATTGTTGGGACACACTCTGGGAGTGCAGAGGTGGGGACCATGGTCAGTGGTGGGGCAGGGCAAGGGGTGAAGGCAGCGGGGACAGGGACTCTGGCTGGGAGGGAGAGTGGCCTCTCCTCAGTGGGTCCTTGAGCAAGTCTCTGCCCCTCTGTGGGCCTCGGTCTCCTCCTCTGGGAAATGGAGGGTGATGACGTGGTGCAGGCCTCACGGCGGTGTGATACCATCCAAGGGAGGACAGGAATGGGAAGAGATTTGTGCTAGCTCCTCCTCGAGAGGTGAGGGGAGAGCAGTGATGACAGTCAGATGAGACGGAGTCCTCAGGAGAGCGCTGAAGGCAGGTGGAGTTCTCCCCACTCTTTCCTGATGAGGAAAGAGGCTCAGGGAGACCTGGGTAGGCCCAAGGTCACACAGGAGTGAGTCCTGGAGCCTGGACTGGTCTAGAATCAGAGCACCCTGGAGGTGGGAACAGTATAGGCAGCAGGGGACTGGAGCCAGATGGCCAAGGTCTGAGGTCAGTGGCCTTGGGGGACATGTGGAGGGGAGCATGGCCTCCTTGACCCTGTCCTTGTCCCCGACAGGAGGCGACCTCCGTGTTGGCCACTGCACAGAGGGTCCACCATGGAGACTGGGAGAGGTGGCAGCAGCAGGTGAGGGTGCCTGGGGGAGGTACCCAGGATTCAGAGGACAGGGCATGCCCCCTCCCAGCTGGAGGACTTCCCCAGGAGAGGGGCCTTCCTCCTCCAGAGCATCTGCTGTGGCCGCTGAACCTGAAGTGCCTGCATTGGCAGTGAGCAGGAGGGGGCCTGGAAGGGCTGGGAGCTGGATGGTTTTGGGTTGGGGAGGGGCAGGGCCCACATCCCCTGGGATTGGCTCACAGCCAGCCCTGGGACGTGACTGGGGGAGTTTGATGTTCCTGGAGAGGAGGGGAGAAGGGAATTGTGTGTGGTGGGGGCTCCTGTGGGTCCTAGGCTGCTGTAAGTGGGAGCCTGGTGTGGGCAGGGGGCTGGGTTGAGAGGTTTCAGGGGAGGGCTCATGGGGGCACCTGAGTGCTGGAACTCATCACCATGCCCACCTTGATGGTGCAGGGTGTCATCCCCTCCCTCGAGATGATCTTCAGTTACCTGGAGCTGCTGAATGATGAGACAGATTATTATGTGGAGGTGAGTGAGACTGGAGGTGGGGCCCTGGGATCAGGCTCCTGAGGGTTTGGGAGGAGAGAGTCCTGCCTGAGCCCTGAGCTCTCACACTTGGAAAGGTCCTCTCTGCAGAGCCTCCCAGCCTCCTGTGGAAGCCAGGGCATCAGGCCCATCACAGCAACGAGTGAGGGGAGGCTCTGCCTAGGCCGCCATCCAGTCTCCCTGGGCTGCTGAGGCTCAGAGCTGCCTGGCTGTGTGGCCACAGGAGGTGGTGTCTGAGCTGGACTCAGCCTCTCCCTCTGGCCCTGCCCATGAGGGAAGAGAAGTCGGGGCCCTACCACTCAGGAAGCACATCAGTGGCTGAGCTGTCCCCTCCTGCCTGAGGCCTCAGTCTCCCCATGTGTCATCGGAGAGGGTTAGATTACAAGGTCTCAGCTCCTCTGCCCCCAGGTCTGGAGCCCAGAGCCTGGCCCAGGTCCAAGTCCGGTCTCTGGCAGGGCCTGCCCACTGGCAGCAGTGCAACACTGGAAGAGGTGGGATGGGGGCTAGTTCTGGGCTAAGGGGGCTGTTTCTGATGGACTTTGGCTGCCTGCCTTCCAGGGCAATGTGCTCAGCTGTCGGAATGAGGTAAGGAGCTGCAGCTTCACTGTGGTGAGAGTGGGTATGTGGAAATCAGAGAGACCCCTTTCATAAGAAGCCCTCTAGGCCAATTTCTGGGGTCAGACATTTATTTGCAGAGTTCGAAATACAAAGCTGTGGATCCTATGGAGTTGGCGGGTGGCGGAAGTGCTGGCATCAAGGACCCCTTACTGGTAGAGGATCTATTTCTGGCCAACTGTGAGAACAGGCACGTCCTGACTGGAATTGCAGGGAAGGAGGGTTCCCAAGTTGGCAAAGGCCCCACACTGGTTCCTTGTCCCCATCCTCACCCCCTCCAAGAGCCCTGCAGGGTCCCCCACCCAGGCCATGTCTCCATCCTGTCCTTCCTCTGTCCCAGGAATTCAAACTCATCAAGGACATCAAGCTGATCCAGAAGGCTGCAAATCTGTACACCGTGCAGCCCGATGAGCACTTTGGGGCCTGGTTCCAGGCCATGGAGCCCCTGAGTGAGGAGGCGAGGTGAGGCGCGGCAGCAGTTGGGTGAGGGGAGGGCGGACTCTCTCTGCAGACCAGCTCCAATGTCCATGGCCGTGGCTCCATGGTCAGCCTCAGATCTGGCTGCATGGCGACCCCTGGGGCCCTGGGACTCCAGCTGCTGGGAGGCTCTGGAAGGCACAGCTCAGGTGTGGCTCCTGGGAGCCCACAGCTCCACTCTGTCCTGTAGCTACAGCCTGTCCTGTCAGCTGGAGCCCCAGTACCAGTGGACCAGAAATATTCGACTCTACTTCAAAGACAAGAAGAGCCACTTCTCTTCCCGCCGAGAGCTGAGTGAGTGTCTGGACTGGCAGTGGCTGAATCCAGGGGCTCAGTACAGATTCAGGCCAAGTCTGGGCCAGGAGAGTCAGACAGCTGTGATGCTGGGGCCCCAGCTCCACCGCTGAGCAGTCCTGTCATGGGCGATTCCCCTCACATTTCTGGGACTGGTTTGTTCCTCTGTGAAGTGAGTGACACTAAATATCAGCCCCTGTGTCAGGGACAAATGGGATGCTGTTGGCTGACTGAGCACTCAGCACCGGGGCTGGGGCACAGGGTACAGTGGGTGCAGGGAGAGGGCAGAGTATGCTGTGATACCGGGGGAGGCCCCCTAGGAAATTCCTCTCTCTATCCAGACACCAGGCCCCCAAAAAAGAGCCCAGTGGTGGTGGCAGGTGACGCTCCTGACACCAGCTGAACTACAGCAGGGACACAGCGGGGACACTCAGGTGCACGGGGCCACCTCTCAGATGCTGATATGAATGAAAACTTTGTGATCCATTTCCTGGGGTCCCCTGAAGGCCTCAAGGGATTGGACGACCACCCCATCTCCCTCACACATTTTCCCCAGCGCCTATTTCCCTCTTTGGAGTGGCCATACTTTTGTTGTCAATAATAAATGCTAAGTTTGGGTATTCTATTAAATTTCTGTTTCTTTCTCAGCCTGGGAGTGGACGTGTGGTTCTTTTGCTCTCTGTGCTCATGGAAATGAGATCCAGAATCTCACATTCCTCCTTGAATTCAGAAACCTCACAGAGTCCTCAGCTCAGGGTATGTGGTGAAGGGAGAAGTGCCAGTGCCGCCCCTGGCTGCTGAAGGACAGTCCTGTGTCCCCCTCACTCAGAGGACAGGATGATTGCAGTGTGGTTCACCTGGTCCTGGAGCAGAAGCGGCCCCTCAGATCTCCCGGGGCTGAGACGTTGGAGGGACTTTCTCTGGCAGAACAACAGCCACGGAGACGGGGGTGTCTTTAAAAGTAGCACTTGCTTGGGGCCAGCCCAGTGGTGCATCGGTTCAGTTCGCATGGTCCCCTTCGGCGGCCTGAGGTTCGCTGGTACAGGTCCCGAGTGCGGACCTACGCACCCCTTGTCCAGCCACGCTGTGGCATGTGTCCTGCGTATAAAGTAGAGGAAGATGGGCACAGATTTTAGCTCAGGGTCAGTCTTCCTCAGCAAAAATAGGAGGATTGGCTGCAGATGTTAGCTCAGACCTAACCTTCCTCAACAGCAAAAAAGCTGGCCCTAGCCTGGGCCTAGCACAATTCCTGCCCAGGACCATGGCTGCCTTTCTGCACTTGGAGGACAAGGGAACGTTTTCCCAATACCTCTTGCCCAAATGAGGAAGTTGTTTTCTGATTCAGTCCCTGGAATTGCATCCACTGTAAGTGGGGAAAATCCTGTAAAGCCTCAAAATGTGCACGTGGAGAGGGCGAGGCTAGAGGAAGGTCCTGTGCAAATGGACTAAGGGCTGGCAGGACTCTCCCTCTCTGGGCCCATCTAGGGTCTCCCTGTTCACCTTTGACCTGGGCTTGGTCCTCCTGGGATTCGGGTCCGTGACTCTGAATCCCATTTCCAGCTTATTTTCTCTCCAAGGGGAAAGATTGGGGAGGCAGCTTTTAGAGCCACAGCCGGGTCTCCCTCCATGAACCTGGTGCTCCCTGGGAACTAGGATTTTCAGCATCCCTGCACTTCCCCATGCAATTCTTTCTTAGGGCAGAAATTCCCTAGATGCTACTAGCCTTTCTGTCAGGTCCATCGTGGCCACTCCTTCCAGGCTGGACCAGATGGATCCCTGGTAAGCTATGGTTTTACAGGCTAACAGACCATAATCCTGACAAGGAATGATCCCACAGTGTTCCTTGCTGCCCAGGGTGACCTCTGGGCTTGTGTGATTCTCAGGTCCATGGTCTTGGACAATCACCAGTTTACACACTCTGGTGTAATTTGACTGGCTTTTCCTAAAGTGGCAGCTGGGCCCAAGCCCATGAAGCACGTAGCCCTTGGGGTGACTGGGGTCTTTTCCACAGTCTTGGCGGCGGTTCTGTCATCGAGGTGTGAACCTTTCCTGTTGGGAAGTTGGAAAGATGAGGCCTAAGAAGGGTGTGAGTTGGGGGTCCTGCAGGCAATGCCACCAAACTAATGTTCTGTGGATGTGCATGGACACAGCCTCACCAAGTATAATCTGGAAATGCTCCCCATGTGGGTGTCCAACAGACACTGGTCTGGCTCAACCGGAGAACCCGCCTGATAACCAACAGCTAAAGAGTGACCACCCGGTCTTTTGAGCCTCATGCCCAGGAAAGACCATGTAAGCAAGGACAGATGAATCGCTTGTCATTTCTGAGTATCCCCTCCTTCCTGATGGCTGCAAGTGTCACTCAGACACTCGGCAGGCTGGACTCTGCCAGGGAGGCTGCCTCAGGACAGCCAGAAGCTGAGGATAAATCCTGGTTCCCGGCAGCCCAGGCCCTTGCTGATGCGGCACAGCCACCCAAGAAAGAGACTTCCCAGAGGAAGGTGGGGAAGGCTGTGCTGTCCCTCCAGGGAGAAAGAGTCGTGGCAGGTCCCAGGGCTAGTCCAGGGCCAGGATGAAGTCACGGGTGTCCCACGAGTGTCTCCTCCAAGACTGGGGTGCTCCTGAGAGCCGACCTGGCAGGTAGCAACATTCAGTAAGTTACATGAGTACAGCTGTGGCAGAGGAGGGACAATTTATCCCATCTTTGGGTTTCCAAATTGGAAATTGTTTGCTGAAGTCCGTGAGTAAAGCAGTTAGCAAATCTGGATGACAGGTTTATTTTTGAAGGAAAGTATGAGTTACCAAAACTGGCTTCCTAAGAGCTAACTAAAGGGAAGAGAAAATAATAATATGAATCTCTTGAAATGCCTCAGGTGCATATAGTGCCAGAGAGAAATCCTCAAAATGTTTGAGGGACTGGAAAGCCAGGTTCTGTTTAAACTGTTGCAGGTGTAAGGTGGGAATGGGTGCTTGAATCTTGTCTTCCTGTGTAAGTGAAAACAAGATCACATTAGGAGTGAACTCAGTCTTTCCAAAGTGGTGTAAGACATGGGATTGTACTCCTCACTCACGTCCCTCAAGAATATCTTGCCACGTGGTCCATTCATTGATGCATCTTCCATTTACAGGAGCTAACAAAAAATCTGTCCCATTGACAGCCATACCATCCAGCTAATTGCCACCTCACCCCACTCACAGTGCCCTGCAAGCCTCTCTTGGTGATCTGTCTCATCACAGTGAGGGATTCATGCCAGAGTATACCAGAACCCTGGGAACCATATTCATACCACCTCCAATTGCCAAGACAGGAGGGTCATGAATGGGAAACCTGACTCTCAAACACTGCCTTTCCCTTGGCTCACCTTAGGATTTCTCCTTGAATGACATGATTGGACCATTCACCCGACTGCTGCCCCTCGGTTTTGGTGGCTGGGGAAGAAGTACCAAGATGTTCTGGCCTTTCCTTCACCCTTGAGGAGACCAATGAGAACCCCTCTTGACTCTTCAACCTGCCCTTAGGTTTTGATGTCTACACTGCCTGTCCCAGTGACCACAAGACCTTGGAGACCACTCTGACTCTCCTTAGGGAATTGAACTCTCTCTAACTACAAACACCAGACTAGAGCAAATCTGTGGCCACTGTTTTAGGAATAACTTCAGCATTTGCAGCTAAGGTTGGAACACTTCTGGAGATCTACCAAAGCCCCTGGGTAAGGGGTCTGTATTCTGGAGAGAGAGATTCTGGTCTTCACCAATGAGTTCTCTCATCCACTCATAGGGAAATGCAGAAGCTCTATGTATGTCATCCCAAGGACTTCTCAGTTTGTGAGATTATTAACTGGGTTGGGAAGGAAGATGATGGTGAAGGAGAAGTGCCATGGAAACATTGAGACTCAGCCCAGGGTCATGCTCAAGGCCAATGCATCCACCACACTGCTCCTGGGAATATTGGCTGAGGACAGCTCACAGCTCTTTCCCTCAAAGGACATGCCCACAGCATAGGGAACCACCTAACCTTAGGACACAACCCTCTCGAGGGACAGGCAGAGGCCCATGTCTGGCCAATAAGGGAATAAGAAATCTGCCCTCATTTTGGGACAACACCAAAGGGCCGTCCCAGCTCCAGGGATCCTTGAGGGTTGGCAGAGACTCAGTGGCAACTGTCTTGTGCTTCATCTTCTCCTTCAACTATCCCCGCCTTGCTAACCTCCCATAGGGGTATCTCCCC